TTTAAGCAGTAGTTTTAATAACATTAAGCAGCATTCTAAAGAAATCCTCAAAGACCTAAGTGGAATCTTAACTGAATTCTTCAGTATGGTTTCTGTACACTTAAAAAATCTTATAGATAATACCTACCTCTAGCAAACTACATCCTATTACAAAGAGAAATTGCTTTTATCAAGTTCTAAAGGAAATGGTCTAATGCCTGCTTTTGCCCTTAAGCAACTAACATCAACTACAGAAGGGTTATTAGCACAAGAAAAAGTGCCAGAAATCCTTTCTGTTGCTACCATGAACACACACTGTGAACAGTCTATGGAAGATCTCCATTTTTAGACATCTCTGCCTTTGCTGAACATTCCTGTAGAATCTAAACAATTCACATTAGAGGAGTAGGGGAGAAGGTATCACAATACCCTGAAATACTCAACATGCTGTACCTTTAACTTGCTATTGGCTCAAGGTACAGAACACAATTTTAGATCTCCTTCAGGTGGACAGTCCACAACATATAGAGAGAGTGCTTTAGAAAACAAAAGCTTAATACCAAATAGTTCTTTCTCTGAAATCTATCTGTAACAACCTCTTATTCATAGTGAAATGCCCCAGGAGCTAATAGAGTCAGCAAAGCATCCCTCCTCTCAAGCATGGCTTTTGAGAATGTTGTTTGTTACATTGAAAAGGCAAAATTATTGTTGCTCAATAACGCACAATCCCACAAAAAAAATCCACTACACATGGCTTGATAGGAGAAGAAATGTATGGATTATTATTATATCCTTATGTCAACTTCAAGGTGTATAAACTGACATAATGCTATTCAAGGAAATCAAATCTCTACTGTCCCCCGTCCCGTATCACAGAATCACAGAATGTCAGGGGTTGGAAGGGACCTTGAAAGACCATCTAGTCCAACCCCCCTGCCAGAGCAGGATCACCTACAGTAGGTCACACAGGAACACGTCCAGGCGGGTTTTGAAAGTCTCCAGAGAAGGAGATTCCACACCCTCCCTGGGCAGCCTGTGCCAGTGCTCTGGCACCCTCACAGGGAAAAAGTTTTTCCTAATATTTTTGTGGAACCTCCTATGCTCCAGCTTGTACCCATTGCCCCTTGTCTTGTCATTGGACATCTCTGAGAAGAGCCTGGCTCTGTCCTCCTGACACCCACCCTTTACATATTTATAAACATGAATGAGGTCACCCCTCAGCCTCCTCTTCTCCAAGCTAAAGAGACCCAGCTCCTTCAGCCTTTCCTCATGAAGGAGATATTTCACTCCATCTCTGTGGCTTGGCGCTGGGCTCTCTCAAGCAGTTCCCTGTCTCTCTTGAGCTGAGGGGCCCAGAACTGGACACAATATTCCAGATTTGGCCTCACCAGGGCAGAGTAGAGGGGGAGGGGAACTTCTCTTGCCCTACTGGCTACACCCCAGGATGCCATTGGCCTTCTTGGCCACGAGGGCACATTGCTGGCTCATGGTCATCCTGCTGTCCACCAGGTGTGAATCCTGCTCTACAGAAAGTTACTGTTGAATACTTTTTAACTGACGGGCATTAACAGCTTGGCCAAAAGAAAAAAAAATCACTTAGTACCTTTCAGCTATGTTCAGGATGAGAAAGCCAGAAACAAAATAGTCCAAATATTACAAGAAATTGAAAGATACACTATACTAAATTATTTTCCTATTACTAGAAGTAGGAGTGCATTTGGTCTCGTAATTTCCCTCAGTTTGGGTGCTTGCCTAAATTTGGACTTGTGTTGGGAGAGTCTAAGCTAACATGAGTCTTACATTAGAAAAGACTCGAGGTAAATATAAAAGTTACATTGATGTAGACCCACAACTGAATTTAATCTTTTCAAAACCCTTCCACTCTCATCTAAGAATTCAAAAGGTGCATTTTAACAGTAAAACAATCTGCTCCAACGGCAGATGACACTAGACCGACCTGCTGAGCTTTCTGCCACCACCTCCAGCCTCACACTTCTGCACCAGCTCGTGCGCACACGTGAACTCCCAGGGAGATCCCTCAGGGAGATAATTCTGCAGAAACGAGCTCTGCAGGATGAGAGCGGATATTTTTGTGTGGGTTCCACTCCCTGAGTGAGCTCACCATGAGCCAGGCGAGTGTCCCCTGCCAGGCCACTGAAACTAGTGGCGATGCCCAGTGGTACTGCAAGAGGGGAACAAGACTGTCTCCTTGTGGTAGAATCGTCCCTCAGCTCAGCCGAAGGGCAGGACAAGTCCTGCACGTCTGCAAGTTTGCAGTGTTCACTCTGTTTCAGTGCTCCATCATGCTTTTGCTGGCTACTGCTGATCTTAAAAAAAACTTAAAAGGAACAGTTTTAAGTACAGATCCATTGAGAACCAGGGTTTTTTAAAAAGCACATTTGGTACTCTAGCTTCTTTAAAAACTGTTTGATTTAAGACACTATCAAATTAAGATCTTTAACAATGTTCTTCAAATACAAAGCAAGGACACTCACAAATACCTATCTTCTCATGTTCCTATTTTTTCATTGCAAAATTTGTTAAATAAATTCTAAAGGTAATTTCCAGGGCTCAGGAGAATTATCATAAATATTCTTGACAATAACTTTTTTAAAAAAAACCCAAAGCAATTAAATACGCATAACGTGACTTTTATGGATGTCACCATCTTTGGTCTACATCCAAATGCAAGCTAAAAATAGCAAGAACAGAGTTATATTGAACTAGGAAAGTACAAGGTGTCTTGATGCAAAATTTGGTTTACATAAAACAGAAAAATATTTATCCAGCAGAGGTAAATTAAAAAGCTAAGAGAAAAACACCAGACAAACTGCTCCCCATCTTAAGAAGACACTGAAGAGCTTTTCTTTACATATTATGCAAGAAACTGATCCCAGTAAAATCTTTTTTAAAAGCAAAAATTACAGGTATGAGCATATGAATAAAAATTAGAGATATACTTTTTTTGTTATTAACTGAGATTTTAAATTGATTCCTAAATGATTACATTAACTCTCAATTTCAAGAGGAGACAGGACACATCCAGAATAACATGTTTTTTCTTACTATGCTCAAGATACAAAATAACTACTTGAAATACCTGAATTCTTGAGAACTCCAAGGCAAAAGATTCTGAATACACCTTTAAATCACCAGTGTACCAAAGCAATTTTAAAAATTGTTTCCCTTCTCTCACTGAGGTGTCCCAGAATCCATTAACTTAAATTTATTCGCATACCAAGAACACATTAAGACTTCATAGATTTCTATTCTTCTCCCTTTCAATTATGCCAACATCAATCAAGCACTATCATTCCAGAACCATGAAAAATAGTCTTTTTTTGTGTGTAACAACAACAATCACCTCCCAAAGTTCCAAGAGAAAAGACAGAGACTTTAGGCAGCAGCTTTGCTGCAATTCATCAACAACAGATAAGACCTGTAAAGCAGCAGCAACAGTCACGCAAAACACCTGGTGCGGCAGGCTGGAAATAGCAACAGCAGCAAAAAAATTCTCTAAGGTATTTGTTATTGTTATCTTAGATACCATCTTGTACTTCCTCTCAAGATATCAAGTGTATATATGGCATTTGAGTATATGTATCTTTAATAGTTCCATGAACACATACGTTTCCCTTAAACATAGACTTTTCAGGTGTTCCTCCTCAAGCTGTATCTAATTATATGTCAGCACTCTGCCAAAGCAACAGCTGTCTCCTTAGGAAACTAATAATTGTACCATGAAAATCAGGATTGTACTTGCTTCCTGCTTTTGCTCACGGTTACTATTCCAAAGGTAAAACGAACAAACATACACACACCCACACCCCAAAACCATACAAATATATTAAATTCTGGAATGTAACAGAAAAACTGACAATAAATACAGAAAAACTGACAATAAATACCTAGGAACAAATTAAAAAAAATAAAAATAAAAAAATTAATCCATACCAAAACCTGAAGCCTCACTCTTAGGTATTATTACAGAAATTAAATAAAATTTATTCCAGATGTGACTTCTACTCCAGGTCCGCCTTTGTTTATTCATATCTTTTAAGAAAACATTTGCTCTGCATCCAAAAATTAATCCAAACCTCTATTTACTATTAAAGACTCGAGAACAATCTATGTCTCACAAAACTTAATGAGCAATTGTAAGTTTCTGGATGTGTATCCCTATTTTGACGTACTGGGGCAACTAGGAAGAATAACCAAATAAGATCAGTGGCTTTATACACAGGTTATACAACATTTCCTACCATACCTACTAGTGATGTTACAATAGCACCACTATTAGAACAGATTTGACATATTAAGCATCACGTTATTTGTCTCATGTCAAAAATGCTAGTTATGATGCAAGTAACAGTAAGCACTACACCCATATTAATATTCTTCTTTTTGCAACCCTTGGTAGCACTTCAGTTAAGCAGGAGGAGTGGTGGGAAACATTAAGGGGAAAAGGGTAACTAAGACAAGGCAACTGGCTGCCCTTGTAACGTGCAGTCAACTTAAAGAGCCACTTCAGGTCATGAGAAATTTCAAGATGACATCTCTTTCATAGCTCTCTTCCCACGGTCAGAAAAAATACCACATGGAAAAGAAATACACCACGAAAAAATCACTCTTTCACTAGCTTTTATGGTAACTTGCATGTAAGCCAAACAATGTACAAGGGTATCAATCACTCTTTTACTTAAATGCCTTTTCAAAGTCATACACAAACTTCTAAGAATGTTCAAGCAACGTATATCAGCTGGCTCGCATACTGTTTTCGGATACCGGTATCTGCAATCCTTCTACCGGATCTAGCATCATTGTCCAAGCTCAGATGACTCAGATAAAAACAATGTGAAAACACAGTTTGTTTTCGTGTTTAAAATCACCATTGGTCTCCTGCAACAATAACAGGAAGAGCTGTACGGATCGATACGCAAGATTACTAATAGGGACTTTTCTTCTACCCACCAAGGCACACGTGGAACTTTCCAGCCAGGTGCAACACAGGCCACACTTACCAGATCTCTGTGAAGCACCCAGTTTGCATGGAGGTAATGGATTCCATCGAGGATCTGGTAGAGTAAGGATTTAACCATAGATCTTGGCAACTGCATGGGCTTTTTATTTGCTTTTGAGGCACGGTGAAACTTGATAATATGCTAGAAATAAAACAAGTAGAAAGATGAAACATGTTAGATAAACAGAAAGGACTTTTGTTGTGTTTGGTTTTTAAACTATTAACACTAAATAATGAAATGAAATACAAAGTCTGCTGAACTGTGCAACTGAAAGCAATATGCTCAAAATTTTCTCGAGTTGCTTTTATTCTCTGAGTTGCTTTAAAAAACAGCTGTCAAGCTTTAGTTAATATCTAAAGACTGGCTACTTACCTTCAGTAAAGGGTCTTAGATATTCTCCTCCCTCCTCCCTCCCCATTTGGAATCCTCTTACCCTCAGCTGCTAGAGAAGAAGCTTTCAAACCAGCAGTGTCTACTAGAAGGAGGACCGCACTCTGTGCTTTCATACCTTCCCTCCTCCTCTCCAAACCCACCCAGGACAGAGTGCTTGCAACTGCTTCACTGTTCCCCCCTAAATCAGAATCTCAGTAGAGAGAGCAAGTAAATATTTTTAAGTGGAAGGGGGATGACAACTCTAAAAAAACCTACACCACAACACTGGGGTGAGATCATGTTCAAATGTCTGAAAATTGATATATTTTTGCTTCCACATTTTGGTTGCACAATTTCATTGATGAAGACAAGCCAGTGGCTCTTGGATTGCAGAGGTCAGTCACAGCCCATTAGAGGACAAATACCTCTTGAAAACATGGAATGCAGAAAGGGACCCCAGCATTAGTCAGCTGGAGTGAAAAAAAAAGATCAGGAAAAGATTGCTGAGAGATCATGAAATATTCATAAACTAATTAATATTTATTGTAAGTTCGATGTGGCGATGATGGGTTAGGTTTGGTTTGGTTTTGCTATCCTGTACAAGAAATAAAGTGGATTGATGCCCCTCTACCTTTTCAGTCCTCAGACAAGGTGGGGCTGTGCAAGGCATAAACTCAATCTTACATATTGCCGTTCAGCAAACAACTAAAACCATTCATTCACATTTAAAAAAAAAAAAACAACTCCTTTCTGAAGGCAATTCAAAGAAGCATCTCAACAAAATAATATTCAGTTATGTGCTTTTCTGAAAGACACAAATAATAAAGGCAGTTTGCATTTTTACTGAAAGCAATTCAAAATGCTAATCTCTAGAGTGACAAGACTACTAATTACTCAAGTCTTTAAATACGATTTGTCTAGCTCAAGATCACCCCCCTCCTCAGGTTAAGGAGGGGTAGCCAGTGGCTGTGCTTTCACTGAACCTCTGCTCCCTCCACCACCACCTGCTGCCAAGTTTGTCACTTCCCAATGAAAATGTTAACGGGTTCATGTTTCCTCACGGTAGATGTTACCTCTGGCTGACATCAGTACTTCAGCCACTGTCAAACTGTGTTTAGCAAAGGTGTAGACAAAAATGTTTAAAGCAAAATAAATAAAAATAAATAAATCAGAACAACAGCCTACTTACTCCCTATCCACAGCAATATTCCCACAGAGCCTTCCACTACTACCTGTACAACAGCGATGGCCGTATATTAAAAACACCATAAAAGAAATCTACAGGATTATCAGTTTTTAATGTACAAATGAGGACCAGCAAGCAAAACAAGCTTTTAGTATCCGATTCTTTAGTTATGCAATCACTCTGAAAACTATAATAGAAAGCCTTAAGGAAGCATTTCCTTTGAAAAGCTCTTTCTTATCTTTACACAGAAAGATTCTGTGTCAAAACTTCAACTGGGAGTCCCTACTCTCCTGTACCATGCAATGCTCGTCATATAACGACCCTTGTGTGTAAGTACAACATGATTTATAAAGCAGCAACAATACCATGAACTCCCAAATGATTATCTTTATTAATAGACGGCATGAAAAAACACAGGAGCACCAAAAGGCAAAGGTCACGACAGAAACTCACAAACCCAGTCCAGCCCTTTTTCAAGGTGCATGTAATGACTAAAAGGAATTTCTACACTCATTTAAAAACTGATTAGTATCCAAACAAAACATTACTCCTTCCAATAAAGGCATACAGAAAATGGAACTGAGAAAGGGTCTCGTGGGACAGAACGGGACACAACTAACCATGGATGAGCTGAGGAGGAACACTTTGCCTCTGGCCCCACCGCAGCCTCTCCGGTACCTGTGGAGGAAAGGAGCACGGCAGCACCAGGCTGGTGCTTTCCGATTTCTGCCCCCACCCTGCACGTGGGTCCCCATTTCCTTCGAACGGACTGGGAACTCTGTCAAAGGTTTTGTCCCATGAGAAACTAACAAACTGAAGAGAGGTTGAGAGCAATGTGAGAATCTGCTCAGGAGCGTGACCTTATCAGTCTGCCAGGGCTATCCGCTAGATCGGCAAAGCAAAGCTTACACCAGGGTAGAGGGGAGGAAGATTTCGTGCAGTGACTCAGAGCAGCAGCATCCCTCTTTCCTCCTCTCATTCCACATGAATGGTGGACTTCTGAGGCAAATAATCCACCCTCATGCTGAACTTCATGTATGTGAGTTACCTCTAAACCAGAGCTAGCACAACTAAATTGACGTGATGCTAAGCCAAGTTCCCCAGCCAGACCTGAGCTAAGGCTCACCACACCAAAGCTGGTTCATGCTCCAGAAAACAGCAGAGATCGTTCTTATCTGCCTCTGAAATACCACTGAGACACATCCTAAATCATCTTGTTCCGATGCTGGTTTGTCCTAGTCAGAAAGGCGAAGAAAGCAAGCTCCTCTCTTGAAGGAGTTATGGAATTGTAGAAGCAAATTAAAGCTGACAGCTTTGCTTTGAGCAAGCAATATCACCACTACATAAAATACAATTTCCTACAATAGAAAAAAAGAAGTTATCGTTGCCGATTTGTTCTATGGAAGTTTATATTCGCCAAAGCAAGAACATCACCCCATCACAGTTTAGAGAAGCATAAAAAAATATATAAAAAGCATATAGCAGGGCCAAATCATACAGAGAACTGAAAAGGTGAATTTGCCCCGTGCCACTGGAATGCACACACAGTGCTTGTGACCAAGTCCTACTCTTAAAAGCTTTGTTAAAAAAGTAGTTGATTTCTTGTATGTAACTAGCCATATAAAGAAAATCCAATACACATAACAAGTGTTAAACAGCCATTTTAATGTCAGTGTCCATCCATGACACAGAAAGGGCAAACAGGTGCCACTGCTGAACAGTGTCTCTCCTACTGGAGGCTGCAAGGCCAAGCTTTTTCCTATCTCCTTGCATTTTCAGAAATATGTCTGTATGGCCCTACCACTGTTGTGGGAAAATATTCCTCAAATTAAAATAAAAATAAATAATTAAACAACTAGCATCAAAACAGAAGTAAACGAATGGTCATAATAACATGACAAAGGTTTTAGAGACCAGGTGTACTGTAAGCTGTGTACCAAGGATGCCAGTACAACTAAACAAAAGGAATTTAAGTAATCTTGCTCATTTCAGCTATGGCAGGGAGGTGTGCTCTTTCCACATCAAAACATTTAAGATTTCATAGCTTAAATCTGAGACCCTGAGTGTAGAAACACATGCAGGTACCAGCACAAACTGGGATGCTCTTTATGCCTAACTATACTATGCAAGTGGAGCCTTGAAAGGAGACGGCTGAGAGGGGACCTTATTAACATAAACAAATATCTGAGGAGTGGGTGTCAAGAGGAAAGGGACAATCTCTTCTCAGTGGTGCCCTGTAATAGAACATGAAATAAAGGGTTTAAGTTAGAACATAGGAAGTTCCACCTCAACATGAAGAGAAACTTCTTTACTGTGAGGGTGACAGAGCACTGGCACAGGCTGCCCAGAGAGGTTGTGGAGTCTCCTTCTCTGGAGACTTTCAAAACCCACCTGGACGCGCGTAACTGTGTGGCTGCCCTGGGGGATCCTGCTCTGGCAGGGGGGTTGGACTGGATGAACTCGAGGTCTCTTCCAACCCTGAACATTCTCTGATTCTATGAGGTATTCTGCATCAGCTTCATATACCGAACAGCCCTAAAGCGAAGCCTTATGCACAGCACTTAACAGCCATAATCTTAGACCTAAAAAGGTACGGAATAATTTTTAGGAATTACAGGAATTGGAACCTACATTCCCCATTCTCTAGGTGACTGCCCTAACTGCTAGCCTTTGAAACCACACTCTTCCTTTCTCTCACTTCTCTTGCAGAACAGCCCAGCATCAAGACAGTCCCATGAGCTGGAAGTATAGATTTGAATCCTGACAGGTACAAAGGACATTCTGCATCTCTCTTTGGGAATCAGGAGGTGTGCATGGACACTGCAGTTTCTGACCTTTAGGTATGCTCAACTTCTTTATCGAGTCTTATCCCTAATGGACAACCACTACGAAGAAAACACAAGGACTTCCACAATCTAGTCCAGTCAGAGGCATGCTTGTAGCAAGAAAACATGCAGACAGAAGGTGGTCAAACAGCTTCAGCATTCTCCATGTCTTTTTTTCACTGTCACTCCCTAAAGATAACTTAATTCCCATATTCTCATAGACCATCTGGCCACAAAAGCTGGAAAATACTCAGACGCATTCAGCAAAAATTTAGGGAAGGCTTAGTTGTCAGTGCACAGCATACCAGTCGCATGCTACTGAACAGAAACCCATCCACAATGTTATCCGACCATAATTTCATTTTAAATAGTTCCTTAAAACTCTGCAGGTGCAAGCTCTCCTCCCTGTGTATCTAAAAAGCTTCCAAATGAAAGAACACGTGTCATACGAGGTAAATGAAACTCCAAGTAACATTCAAATCTATTCAGCAGAAGTAGCCAAGTCGCTTTCCCTTTCTGCGCATCTGTATTTTCAGATTACTAAATCTTAAAAACATGCTGCCACTGACTGGGTTCCAAAAATGTTGTAAGCCAATTAGGTATCCACTTCTGAAAATAAACATAATGCAAAAATATTTCTATAGCATCTACATATTTTATTTTGAATTCAAACACAGCAGCAACTTTGTGGTGGTGGCTTTAAGTCTATATTCTCAATTTAATTAATACTTCACTGATCAACATTAAAGCATACATTT